TGAAATCAAGCTATACCACTCTTGGTTTGTTGGAAAAGTAGCACATGACCGTTTATTTAGTCGTTATAATAAACGATTACATTAATAACAGAATTTGGCACACTAATGAGGTCATTACAGTAAGAATCATTTCAAAAATGTCACACAAGTGCGGGTTCAAACGAATGAAAATATTGGATAATGGAAGAAACTCTGAAAATTTCAGGGCTGTATTGTGTATAATTATACGCAGATAATGAATTACCGTTATGCTTCTCTGTTGATGTACATGGCTGCCATATGCTGTACTTTCAACCTGTTTCAGTTGCAAGTCATATCACAGGCTTTAATAACGGAAGAATTGAGCATTCTAAGACTTGATATCGAAAGAAATAACAAGTGTTGTATTTTAGGATCATTTTAATGGGACAGTTTAAGTACCAAATTCCTGAAGCAGCCACTCCGAAGCAAAAATACATCGAGATAGGAGATATGAGCACATTCCCTACTTTTTCTCTCATTCTTTACGATTCTAGATCCTATGCACAATGAATCTCATGATCGCCCGCACAGAGAGAACCGATCAATAGAGTGCTCTTCTAAATTCTAAATCTTGAGTCCACATAACCTTTCACATAAAAATACCGATTTTGTAAGCAGATACACTAAAAAGCGTTTTTCTGTTAGTGTGTTTGAACGATTTTATATATTTAGGGATCATTTAACATAACTCAATTTTTTGGAACGCTATCTAAAAAGACAGTGGTATTGTTTCTCGTTGAGTTAATTAACTGTTTTGATCGTAAATTACGCATCAAAACTACTGTTTACACTTTAATTGAATCTACTCCAGTTAAAGTGATATTGTATTGATTGTTTTGATTCTGCTTTTGTGTAATTATTGCACCAAAGCATACTTGGTCAACTTTTACTTGATAATTTAGTCAAGGTTTTTAGCATTTTTTTTACATATCCTCTTTGTATCACCATTGTATTTGGTTTTCAAGATGGCCAAATCGGCTCATAAATGTGGAAAACCATGTTGCTTATTCCCCATGGAGGAAGGGATGCAATGTGATGAGTGTAAGAAGTGGTTCCACAAGATGTGCACCCGACTAAGCCCCGCTGCATATAAAAGGTGCTCGAAGCCCAACTCTTATTGGCTTTGTAGTTTTTGTTGCTCAAACAAAACAACACTCATGCAGGAAGCCATTAGCCTCCTGGTGTTGGCTAATAAGAAGGTTGAGGAGGGCTGCACTGATAATATTGGTGCTGATAGCGAAGATCGCGTTAGTGTCGTAAGTTCTGTCACGGCGCAAGTCAGACATCTAACTGCGCAACCCGAAATCAAAATTTTTACCTCGAAACAATCAATGAGTGACACCTCATTAGATATTGGTGGCCATGTTGCTACAGCAGCAACTGGTGATCCAGATAAAACAATTATTGTCCCGAGCAGTTCCAATGTAAATGCTACGGCTGACAGAATATGGATGAAGTGTAAACGCAGAAGAGTAGGAAAGACAGCTAAAAGTAAGGACTGTTTACTCGATAAGTCTTTGGTGGACTCTCAGACCACTCCGCCAAAGTCCCAAAGTAAAGCCTCGTCAAACATTGTTGTGAGTCACTCACTCGACTCCAATGACTCTGTTACAATAATAACTAATCGTAAGATACCAGTAGTTAATATACAGGATTTAAGGTCACGATCGATAGCCGTAAACACGATTCCTAAAGAAACTAAACCACTCCCTAGCTTAATTATTTGGAATCTAGAGGAGTCGATAGACAACGATCCTGCTAAGAGACATGCACATGATCTGAAGTTAGTAGAATCCGTGGTAAGAAACGTACTACCTGAAGAGGTTTCAGGAGTACATATCACGAAAATGATACGACTCGGTAAATGGGTTGGAGGCGAGACCCAACCAAGAAGGATCTTGAAGCTGGTTCTAGGGAGTTTTGAAGAACGAGACATATTATTGAAAAACGCACAAAAAGTTCGTGATTCAAATATTCGTATCCGACCAGATTGGCCGCTTGAAGATCGAATCAAGTGGAAGAATGCTCTTACGGAGTTAAGAACTCGCAAGTTAAATGGCGAAACTAACCTTACCATTAAGGGTTTTCGGGTAGTCAGGTCTTGGAAGCCAATGCTTCCGAGGCCTGTATGGGTAGAACGAACGATTACCATAACACCTTAAGTGTGTGCTACACGAACGCCCGTAGTCTTAGGAATAAAACGTCCGAGCTAGGTCTGATGGTGGATGAATTAAGTCCCGATATAATTGTCATTACAGAAACTTGGTTCACCTTAGATATAGAATGTTCTCCCATCATTGCAGGCTATATCTGTATTAGAAGTGATAGAGTTTTAAGCCGCAAGGGGGGAGGCATAATGTTATACATTAGGGACCACTTTCGTATACAACCAATCATATCGGAGGCTCATGTTAGTGGTACATGTGAGGTAGCATGTTGTAAGATTAAATCTAAAAATGGGTTAGTGACTATAGGCGGAATATACCGTAGTCCGTGTTGTCTTGCTGACGACTTTATCTTAAGACACATCTGTTCTTGGAGTATGGCAGAATGTTGCCTCATCATTGGGGACTTCAACGCTCCGAACATAAACTGGATAGAGCTTACAGCTCCAGGTGGAGGTTTTGATAGCGAACTTTTATCAACAGTTATTCAGTGTGCACTTGTCCAATGTATCACTGAACCGACACATATTGATCTGAAACGTGATCCGTCACTGCTGGACCTCGCCCTCACCCACCACTGTGAGGACGTCTTTGATATTCAGCACCTTCCTCCACTAGTGAACAGTGATCACGTTGTACTTCACTTTAAGTTTAGGACACATGGTATACGATTTGTATCTGCTCCACCCCGTCCCAATATCTGGCGGGCTAATATTCCGGCAATCAGAGACTGTGCGATCTCTACTGATTGGTCGGTTGACGCAGATGGATCGATCGAAGATGAATGGATTAAGTTTAAGGCTACATTCGAGTCCGTAACGTCGCCGTTTATCCCATGGTCAGCACGTAAGCTATCGCAATGCCCTCCATGGATTAATAAGGAAACCCGTAAGCTGGGACTTATTCTTGTTGACAGGTCATGCATCTCTTAAGCGTGAGTACCAAAAACTCCGGAATATTTGTAAGAAAACAATAGCTAAATCCCGTATTACTTAGGAACGACAGTTGGTATATGATAGCCGTACTTGTCCAAAACGATTGTTTTCGTATGTTAAACGGCAAATAAAACGTAGTGATAGTATTCCCCCATTATTGTTACACGATAATTCAGGTTTACTAGCTGAATCAGATCGAGCCAAAGCTGATACATTTTCAAATTACTTTAGCGAAGTCTACTCTACGTTTATTGTAACAAATACTTGTCCCAATTACGCCGAGATACCAGCCATCGAATCTATACAGGTGACTGAAGAAACTGTCCTTCCGTTGATAATTAACCTCAAACCTTGTAAGATACCGGGTTCTGACGGGTTAAATCCACGACTGCTGTCATCTCTTGCAGACATTATTTCAAAACCGCTCGCGACACTCTTTAACATGTCCCTTTCACTCGCTCAACTACCTAGGGATTGGAAAGATGCTATTGTCAGTCCTATATTTAAGGATGGTCAGAGACACATCGTAGCTAACTACCGACCTGTCAGTCTGACTAGCATTGTCGTTAAGTTACTTGAAAAGATAATTCGGGTTAGGTTGCTAAGCCACATAGATTCACACAATCTGTTAGCTCCTGAGCAACATGGATTTCGTGATAAGCGTTCATGCTTGACTAACTTACTTATTGCGAGAGAGGATTGGACAGCAGCCTTAGATAAAGGTCTGTCTGTCGATGTTATATTCATAGATTTTAGCAAAGCATTTGACCAGGTTTCACACTCAGGTCTTATACAGAAGCTCACAAGCTTCGGAATAATAGGTACCGTACAGGAGTGGATAGGAAACTTCTTATGTAACCGCAGACAGAGAGTGAGGGTCAATGGGACGCTATCTGATTGGAAGCCGGTCAAAAGTGGTGTACCCCAAGGCACCATATTAGGCCCTCTGCTATTCCTTCTCTACGTAAATGAATTACCGCTGTTGCTTAGGTCGTCGACATTATTATTTGCGGATGATGTCAAAATATGGAGAGCAATGAGAGGTGAGGCTAATCATCAAGATCTTCAATCTGACTTAGACGATTTAGTTAGATGGGCTCAAGATTGGGGTTTAGAAATCAACTCTAGGAAGAGTGTGCTAATGCACATCGGTCACGGCAATACTTACCATTATACTATTGATGGCAAACCTCTTCCATGCGTTCAAGAACATAAAGACTTAGGAGTAATAATAAGTCATGATTTAAAAACAACTGCGCACTGCAACGCAGCCGCTGTCAAAGGTTTTCGTGCGTTATGGTCACTTCGCCGAGCGTTCAAATCCTTTGACGAGGAAATGTTTCGAATTTTATATCCCACCTATGTAAGACCACATTTAGAGTACTGTATCCAAGCAGCTAGCCCATGTCTGATAAAGGATACTACCTCACTTGAGCGTGTCCAGCGTGTGGGAACGAAATTATTGAAGGGTCTTTCTAAACTCCCTTACGATGAGCGTTTAAAACGCCTAAACCTTTTCCCCTTGTCGTATCGTAGGACTCGAGGTGACCTTATACTGGCATTTCGTATCTTTAATTATGATTTGGGTGTTAATATGTCTTATCTTTTTGCTCCCTCCAGCACTAATAATCTCCGAGGTCATAGCAAGAAGGTTCATAAACCACGATCTAATAAACTCAAGGTGGGGTTCCGTTTTTCTCATCGAGTAGTCAATGATTGGAACGCTTTGCCCGATCAAGTGGTATCAGCCCCATCAGTGAATATTTTCAAAGAGAAACTGGACCTTCACTGGAAGGCAACCTGTTAGGATTAACACAGGTTCACTAACCTACTATCCTTATTACTGAAGACTGAAGACTGAAGACTGAAGTGTTGACATTGAACAAATAGTATAGCCGCTCTTCCCGATATTTGCGTCACCTGAGTAAGATAACCATACAATCTCAAAAGAATCATGGACGACAAGATCCAACATAAAATGGAAGTCGACTATTCCGTTAGCGTCGATAATTTACTCGTAACAGTAAAGTCTTTATTAGCGGTACGTTTTGAGCCAGATGATGTTTCATTACTGGCTGTAAATAGGAATGAAGATGCTTATTTTTAAAAAAATATAGGCTGGCAATTTCGAGTCTGCTGTCGAACAGTGTGTTTCTCTCGAAAAACAAACAAGAACAGTATGTCTCCATTTTCTTTACTTTAGAATAGGCTTCTGATGCTATATCAACGGGGCGACTGCTAGAAGCAATTGTCGAAATTTTAGCTGAAAATTCTCAGTGGCCACGACTCAATGAGCATCTTATTTTAATGACAAAGAAGCACGGTCAGATGAAGCAGTCCGTATCCAAGATGGTTCAAAAAGCCATGGAATATCTTGATAAAACACCGAGTGAACCTGTTAAACTCGAGTTAATCGAAGCTCTTAGGAATGTCACAGAAGGAAAAGTTAGATTTGTTCCTTCATTTCACTTCCTTAGATTTATGTTGAAACTGAGAGAGCACGTTTGACAAAGGAATTAGCACGAATCAAAGAATCTCATGGAGATATTGAGGGGGCTGCCGCGGTATTGCAGGATCTTCAAGTACGCTTCACTTCTTAACTAACTGATGCCAGGTTGAAACATTTGGTTCTATGGAAAAGAAGGAGAAAGTGGAATTCATGTTGGAACAGATGAGGCTTTGTTTGGCTAGAAAGGACTTTATCCGCACCCAAATCATAAGCAATAAAATATCAACTAAGTTCTTTGCTGATGCAGAAAACGAGGACTTGAAACTCAAGTTCTACAACCTGATGATTAACTTAAATGCTCATGATTCTCTCTACTTGAATATTAGCAAAAATTATTGGGAGATATACAATTCAAAAAGTGTACAAGAAGATGAACAAAAGCGGTTGCTAGTATGTTTCAGTTAATCGTACTAACTTTTTCTTAATAGGTACTCAGGCATGTAATCATATATTTGTTACTTTCTCCTTATGACAACGAACAACATGACTTAATGTGTCGCCGAAAGCTGGTAAAGGATATGGAAAAAATACAAATTTACTTGTAAGTTGAGCCTTATTTTTACGGTAATATATATTTCTATGTATGCTTTCTGGCGATGAAAATTAGACAACTTCTACTTTATCCGGAAACTGCACATCATCTCTAGAATTTTCCCACCACTCTCCAGTATAAGTTAATTACTTTCGAAAGGTCTGAATTCAAACGTGGCTTAACATAAATGAGATATATACTCATGTCAACGTAAGGTCATATTTTTTAGTAAATCCAGTATTCTGTCCGAAACTTCATAGTTTTAAGTTATGGTTTATTCTCTTTTCTTTGACCCCTATTTTTTAGATATCAGTCTCTTTTCGTAAAAGTTCCAAAAACTGAGCTCAAGTACATTTCTGAGCTGGAGTAAATTAATTAACTTTTCCTTTCAGTCAGTCAGTAACAACGTGGAACTTCGTACGTACGTACATCAGTTCGAGTTGCCATACCACATTAGCACAGAGATTCAGTTATCGATTCAAATCCCATAGTGGTAGAGGTACTGAAAGTATAAGTAGAGATAGGGGACATTAAGGTTTGTTGATGTTATTAAAGGAGTATAGTACAGTGGAATAAATTGGGAAAGAAAATAAAGGACATGAAGAATTCAGAAGATTAGAGTTTGAGAGAACACAAAGAGTGGATGCACCTGCGCCATTGCAAACGATTTTGAGCCATGTCATTTAAGGTCTCTAACCATCGGTTGCTATCATCTCGCGGTCCCCAACCAGGTAGTCTACACCTACCAACATGAATCAGTCCACTTGTCAGTGACTTCATGGATTTGTGCCATGTTTTGGTCTGGCCGCCCCTAGCTTTCTTCCAACCTACTCCTACACCATAAAACATCGCACGTCGGGGCAGTCGGTGGTCAGGCCTGCGCAACACATGTCCCAGCCATCTCAACTGATTAAGTTTCACTACTTCCTCAATTGATTTGCCATCCTTACCTAGTACCCGTTTCCTAACAACTGAGTTACTTCCTCGGTGGTCCCAGGATATACGAGCGATGTTTCGAAGACACCTATGGTCAAATACTAGTAACCTACGAATATCCTCTACTCTTACCGGCCATGTTTCACTGCCATAAAGTAGGACGGAACGAACTGCTGCGCAGTAAACACGTCATTTGGTTGATAGACGGATATCTCGCCTACGCCACAAATGACGCAAGTTGGCAAAAGCTAGTCGAGCCTTTTGTATCCGTGCTGAGATTTCGTCACACACCAAACCACAAGGGCTGATGAGACTTCCGAGATAAGTGAAGCGGTCGACACGCTCAACTACTTCACTCCCTATCACTAGTTCGGGTGTCGACGCAACCCAATCCTGAAGTAACATTTTGCATTTCGAGGGAGAGAATCGCATGCCGAACAGGCTTGCATTGTTGCTTAGAGTGGTCAGCAGACTCTGCATTCTGTCAGCGTCTTCACTAAATAGAACTATGTCATCGGCATATTCTAAGTCAACAAGTGGATCTCCCGGTAGAAGTTCAGCTCCTGGAAATTTAGATGAGGAAAGTGTCATCTCTAAAAGGACGTCAACGACAAAGTTAAACAAGAATGGAGAGAGTGGACAGCCCTGACGAACACCACTTGAGGTAAGCAATTCTGATGACAGTTCACCGTAAGCTCTCACTCGACCAGTTGTGTTCGAGTAGAGAGCCTTTATAAGGTTGACGTACTTCTTTGGTACTCCCTTCAGTGACAAACATTGCCATAGAACCTTACGATCAACAGAGTCAAATGCCGCCTTAAGGTCGAGAAATACTACCATTGTGGGACGTCTGAATGTGTGTCTATGTTCTAGGACCTGACGTAATGTGAATATTTGATCAATACAACCACGTCCAGGTCGAAAACCAGCCTGGTTTTCTCTAGTCTGCTCTTCACGAGCTTTGGTTAGACGTCGAAGTATTATTGAAGCTAATATTTTAGACACTATATTAGTCAAACTAATTCCTCTTGACTATCATTAAGTAGGACCCTAAGGGGTTTCCTTGCAGCATGTTTCCTACGTCCAGTAAGACGTAGACAAATACGCGCTCGCACTAGAGCATGATCTGAGTCTAAGCATGTGCTCCAAAATGAGCGACAGTCTTCTATCGAGCCCCTCCATCGGTGGCTGATAGCGATGTGATCTATTTGGGTCCAGCGTTGAGACGAATTAGGGGGTCGCCATGTTAAAAGATGTTTTTCCTTATGCTTAAAGTTAGTGTTTGCAAGAAACAGGCGGTTATCTGAGCATAGCTGCAACAGACGGTCGCCGTTATCTGTTCTTTGAACCGCGACACCATAAGATCCACCCAAGTGTCTTTCCTTTTCGCTTAGTTTACCTACTTGAGCATTAAAGTCACCAGCCACTATTACTACATCTGAACGCCTAGCTTTTCGGAGAAGGTCGGAAAGCTTTCTGTAAAACTCATCTTTTACATCATCTGAGCTGCAGTCAGTGGGAGAGTAGGCAGAGACGACGAAGAGGCAACGACGAGTGTCCCTATCTTTTCGAGTCCTTACTGTTCCGTTTAGTCGGACAGCACACAAACGACTGTCTACTGGAATCCAGTCTAAGAGAGCTAGTTCTGCCCTAGGACTCAATGCTATACCTACGCCAGCGAGGCCACGGGATGCAGCATCAGGGCTTCCAGATACACGAAGCGTAAATGGAGTTGGTTCGTTACTTTGACATGGTGCAGTCAAATGAATGACACTACTAGGATCCTGTGTGCGCGTTTCGGAGACGCAGTACACATCGATGGAGCGAGATTCTAAAGTCTTAGCTAAGGAAGCCTGTTGTCCTATTTGGCACAGTGTTCGGACGTTGAAAGCTCCTACGTGTAGTTTGAAGCGTGGTTTCAGGAGACCAGGAATAACATTCCGCGTACTCGAATCGTTCGCACTAGCGGGGCGAGGTGATAAAGGGACGTGATAAGGGTTAGTCGTGGAGATAAGAGAGTTATTAGGAGGTGTAGGAAGGATTTGAATGTGACCAACTTGGTCTCGTGTGCTGTTACGGGTATGAGGGCTGATATCACTTCCCGGTTGCCCACACCGTGGAAGGGTATTTCTTGGGGGACCTGAAAAGGAAATCGGATTAGTGTTGGTCTTAGCGACCTGAGTGCGTGACCGCAGAGCCCAAGGGACAACTGCTTGAGGCCGGTCGCGCACGGCCTTTTTGTGGTAGGTTTTTAATGTGTTAGCTCCGTTCTTCAAAGGGCCCTACCGCCGGAGACGGAAATCCGTGGGGTAAGGTGAGGTGTGACATTTTTAGGGTCAACCTTTTCTAACCCCACCCCTCCTTGTGAGAAGGCAGCATCGCTGCAGATGCTGGTTGTCCGAGGAAAACACCTTACTGCTGTCACACCTCTGTACAGTCAGCAGTACGACTTCGCCCTCAGACCATGAGTTGTTGCTTTTAGTCTTACCGTTCTCCAATCGACCTGCCTGGCATGGTAGAACCTGCAGGAACTTGAGTTCCAGCCAATATAGCTCGGTTGGGTCATCACGATAGGCAAGCCCGACCACCACGTCAAGGTAGCAGCTACGGTCCTTTAATGTTCGCTTACCGAGAAGGATGGTTTGTGCTCATAAAGAAAGTAATGCGTTACAAATAACGTCGGCGGATTGTAGTTGTGCCTAATTTTCAGCCAGCTAAATTGATTATAATAGATTTCACTCAGTATTTATTGATTATATTTTCAGTAATAGTTATAGGTTATCCTAATTCCCAGATTGTGTCCACTCAATTGTGAATACTTTTGTGATCTAAAATGCTTATTTTTATCTACTGATTCTTCAACAGGCTTCATAGAAAAACCTATCTACTCATGGGTAGCATTTTATTTTTATTTTGACTTTTTAGGTCATAAAAATTAGTTATCAATTAACGAGGTTGCAAACCCATCTAACAAACGGCTTGTTATCCATCCCACTTACTCAATAGTAGAGCTTTAATTACTTTATTTAAACATAGATATTACTACAAGGAGGCACCAAATACATATGCGCCATATAAATCAATCGATTTGTGTGGGGGCTCGGATGCTCTCCGGATGCCCAAACCGAAACAGATGGTTTTCTTAAAGGACCACACCCCGAGCTATTGACCTAAAGGTCTAATTCACAGGTCAGTGGGGCAACGTAGGGAGACGCTAGATTCATACGCAATTTGCTTCCTTAGGATCCTGGAGTCCATGTGCACCATTGGTTTGGAATCAGGGTTTTCTAACTTCCTTAGGTGAACCCTCTGTGTCTACCAAGCTGATTAAAGCGCCTGGAATTCGCTTTTAGTCCCCACTTTCGTAAACAACACCCTTGCCGCGAGAAGGCAGTGGTTGTATGCACGTGGCCATGTAATAGCATTTCGAGAGGGAGAGCTGACTCTTCCCACTCTCGACCGTACCATGGCATTCGGATGCAGAGCTTTAATTTAGCAATCTGGATATTCAAATTCTAGTAGTTGCACTATAGGTGTTAGTCATACTTCCATTAACACAATTAGTTCCCGTCATAAAATTAAGTTAAGGAAACAAACAATGTTTTCAATAGATAGGTTGTAAATTTCCTCCAATTGCTTACAGTCTTATTCGTGCCGAAAAATGTCATAATACAACAATCTAAATTGATGACTGGATAATCATCTCTTATATATGTATATACTAGACTTATGAATTCAAGTCGTATCTGTGATTCTAACGTTACAATGCTCAGCCGTTACCTTGGCGTGGTAGTTGGACCATATTGACTAAAACACTTCTTTTTTTAATACTTCTATTCCTATTATTAACCCTCTCCTTCTGTACTAATTTTCTAATAACCCTTAATCTTTTTTAAAAAACATCTTGGATGTTTCACTCTCGTCCTAACTCTCAAGTTTGCTATCATTAATTAAGGATGGTAGATCAATACTTTTATGACATAAGACATCCACATTTTTTCCGCATCACAAGCATTAAACTCCTGCGAAACCGAACTCCCTGCCTTCAGATTTGTTTCTTAGTAGTATCAAACGTGTAATATTTTTCTTAATCATGTGGTGTGTTTAATAATGCATTGTGCTTGTTTCCAAATATCAATATTTTAAACACTTAAACTGATGTCAGTTAGCTGTATGATAGTTACTAACTCGAAAACGAACAGTATTTTCCAAGCAAGAATATTCTGCTTCTATGTCCACTCTCACTACTCATTCACTTGTAGTAATTGGGTTAAACTAACATTTTCCGCTCGTCACCTTGTTTTTAAACTTTCAATTAAAACCAGCACACTTTAAAAATACTTTATCTGATTTCGAAAACAATTTGACGCGAAAATATAAAAATGAGCATATATATATAGTACAATCTAGTCTTAACTTTTATTCAGTGATATGCTCAAAGCATTTACAACACAAGAATTATTAAAGTGGGATGAATTCTCTAATCTATACGAGCATGCTTTACGTACAGAAACTGATGTATTTTCCAAGAAAGCCGATGAATCAGAATGCGAAAAACGCTGGCGTGATCTACATTTACGAGTAATTGAGCACAATATTCGTGTAATATCTGAATACTATACAAGAATCCGGCTCCATCGGTTATCTCAGTTGTTAGATTTGGATATCGATGTAAGTGTTTTCCAGTCAACTATTTGATTATGATAAATGTCTTCAAAGTTTACTTATTTATTTTAAAATCCCATTTATCTCTTTACCTCGTCTATTATGTAATCCTCTCTGAACTTATCTCAAAGTCAGTAGCAATTGATAGAATATTTTAGCATTATATTCTTTTCTAGTAACTAAATATTGTAAAATAAGTGCTAGTCGTCAGCAGAATTTTCGAGATCTTAATGCGTTCCTCTAATCCGTTTATATTTTCGCGAGAGGTTTACGTTTACCAATTGAAATTGTGAATAGAAATTTAACGAATCATACTTAGTCAGCATCCTCTTTCATTTAGATTTGATGGATAGGAAATAAATGACTTACTCAATTTAGTAACTAAAGCGAAACATACTGAACTCATAAATTTCTCAAACGTTTTGTTTGGCGCAAATAATATTCGCTCGCTGTAGCCCTTCATTAGTACTTTTTGATAAATCGTTTCGGGACTTCACTTTTATTGCCTCAGTTATGTAGATTCCAACTTATATCTTAACAAAAACGATTAAGGGATTGGGTTTTCAGTTGGGCTACGGTTAGCTCTACTTATAAATGATTGAGAATTCTTCTGATACAACACATGGACACAACAAAACTTCAACGTTAATAGTCTATACGCTAATAAAAATGGCGCATATATATTTGGTGCTCTCTTGTACCAATATTTATGTGTTCAAATAAATAAATAAAAATGGAACTTTCGTGATAACTTTACGTTGTATACAGAAGTCAAAAATCATAAAGGAACAACGCTTTTTGTGGTAATATGTAGTGATCAGGGGACGTATCATAGTTGAAGAACTAAAACCAATGACAGCCAGTCAGCTAACAGAAAATGTTTTTAGGAAAATATTAATTAGAAAAATCTCTTCGAGGTCATCCTTTGAAGAAGGAACTTACATATAATGACAAAAACTAGATAACCTCTTTTTGGCACTAATAAACCAACCTTAGATTTCATCATCGGGTTTACTCGACGTATTCATTGTAAAATGATTTAACCCAATGAGGTTTCTATTGTTTTAAACTGCATGGCAGTAATTGTGTCAAGTGATTTAAGTCTATATCATATTTTAGAATTATTAAGTCCCCATGCACTTGCAGCTTCTAAACTTATGTTTTAACTTTTAAACACACATTTCATCAGTGTTATAACTGTTACAAAAATAATTAATTGTAAATAATTTACATGCCGTTAACAGTAATATATTAAAAAGTAGTAACAGTAAACTAGAAATGACTTTCAATATAAAACTTATTGATTGTGAGGTTGCTGCTTGCTTGATATTTATCAGGCTTAAAATTCGTTGTTTTCTCATTTTTGGATTTCCTCCAAGAGACATTCTGGTCAGCCATTAAAATCTTCCATTCTAAATGCCATTATAAATAGGTATCTGAGAAATATTTCTTTTTGCCTCCGGCTAAACGGTCGCATGTTATCTTCCAGAAACATACCTTCCATTTAAAGTAATCTAACATGGCTTCAAAATCACATCCAAAACGTCCTAGTCGCTACTCAGTACTTATAAATCCCTCCTATATTTAAAAGTATTTCAATGTCACCAGTTCTTGTGATACAAATAAATGTAGTGTTAATTAGACTTATTCAAATACTTCACCTATCTTCTGAGTATACCCATAAGTGGGATCTTCGTTGGATAGTCTGCTCCTGATTTTTCTTCCAGAGCACTTCTACCAAGATATTCGGTTAGCGCAATTTATTTTTCTACTTCAGTGGAATCCATTGTAACTACTTTGGTTTCAGGGAATAATGTTGATATTTTGCGGCTATTCGAATCATTTCTCCATTAATACTGTTTTTGCTATACATTTACTGTCTGTATTTTTCTTTAGAAAACTGAGGAATATCTGTCGAAACTAGTGGTAAATAAAACAATTTATGCTAAAATTGATCGACTTGAAGGAGTGGTACACTTTATAGCCAAAAAGATGCCGACGGAAGTTTTAAATGATTGGTCTTACAATACTAGAAATTTAATGGCATTGATCAATCAAACAACACATTTAATCAACAAAGAACGTATGATCCATGGTGTGTAAAATAAAATTATGAGTCTGTTATTCTTGCTTTATATAAATAAAATTTTTGTTTGCAAAATCATAGTTTTATGCGCTATGGGTTTTACGAAAACTACTCCCTCTTACACATCCTTGATTCACATCTCTTTGATATCGTGTATGCATATTTAATGTGGTACGACATAGATATTGCTGGAAGTAAAATGTTTCCTGTTCACAAACAAATACAAAGTGTATATCAACTCTAAGCTCATACTGGTGCTTATCTCAATTCCGTAACTAATTAATATTGTTACAGTACAGTTAAAAGTTTCTCCAACTTATTATTATCGTAGTACTTGTGCAAAAAGTGTCTATAAGATGTTTACCTCTTAAACATTAATCATATAATCGAGAATGGCATTTATTTTTATATTTAATCTAGTAGTTTTACAAAGTATTTAGAAAGGCTTGAGTAAAGCTCCCTATAATTAAAATTAAATGACTTTTGTCATTTAAACTCATGTTTTGAAGTTGTGTGTTCTTATTTAACTTTTGAATTTAACTTTACTGATATAATAACTACATGCTAGTATGTATCAGCTGGCCCTCAGATTTTATTATACATGACAATTATAGGATCATTCGTGTTTGCATTCTTTTGACGTCATTTTTCTTTTAATATGAAGGCGTAAGCAGTATACTATTACTATATGGGGTGTATGGAGGTTGTTGAGTTTCAAAGCTTACACCGCAGATGAGTGCTCAACCATCTATATCACTGAGTCCAACGTGAGACCAAGAGGCCTCGGGTTCGACCCAAGGTAGAGTCGTAGATATGCGCTGCCTAGGAGTCCCTCACTAGAACGAAACAACTATCAAGAGCTTCCTGGTTTTCTTCTGTTGTCTAACTAAGATCTGTCTGTGATGTAAATCTTGTAATATATTGTGTTGTTTTCTTGAGTGTATAGTAATTGGACATGCTTTATTTGAATTTGTAGTTATACATTATCGCAACTATTGGACACTTATAAAATTCTCAGAAGATATGAGTACATATTTCTCTTGAGTAGGTAGATAAAATTGAGTAATCTGTGCAAAATACCATTGAACATAACAGAGAGAAATAGAAACAAAACGATTGTATTCCCTCGGGTTTTTCCGACCATACCTTCTCTTTACTCAAGTCTACTTTTGTTAAAATAAAACACGGGAGTGATCATTTAGTAAACCTAATTATTCACAGATATTTTAACAGTTGATCAAAAAAGTCACGTTTTTAAGCACAGATTTTGATGCCAGGTTATCTATGACATTTGGTATTTGAGTGGTGGTGATATTATTTGATAGATCAGACTAAGGATTTCGATCCACCAACCTGCTGCATTTATGGGCATCAAGTCCCTATGTTAACTGTCTATAGTCTACAGTGACATGTCATCTTTAGCAGATAGCATCCAGAAGTGCGTAATTTGCTCTTATTTTGTAACCTGATTAGTATGAAGAATAGACAGAGACTTAAAGAGAATTAAACAACAGGAAAATATTGAAGGACAACCAATTTACTGGAAAATTAAATCTCAAGGATGATTTTGTAGTCACTTTAATTATTCAGGTGAGATTTGATGAAAACTACCAACTTGATGTGTCTTGCTTATGTAATGAAGTGAGACGACTTAAAAATTGGTAAACTTTTAAATAAATCTTTTTCAAAACAGCTTACGTTTGAAACAAAGCTCAGTTATCAATTTTAAATTAAACTCTAAACTACTTAATTAGATATGCGAGTAGGTTCTTTCGTATTGTCCAAAACACCAACTTCAGTTTGCGATCTTGTTTCGGTACTTTACAGTGATACGTTAGGTGCTTTACTGGTATGGCCGAGAGCGGGGAGGGTTCGCCCTCCCTCTCGAAATACTCTCACACGGCCACGCGTTTACAGCCTCTGCCACGGAAGTCCTACTCACTGCCTTCTCGTGGCGGGGGTGTTGTTTACGAAAATGAGAGGACGAAAAGCGAACGTCCGGCGCTATAACCGGATCCCAATTCTATGGTGCACATGGGCTCCAGTATCCTGCGGGAACAAATGGCGTATGAACCAACTTCTGGTCACCGGCTTCCATGGGACCGCATCTCCTCACGATGCTCCACTGCCTTGTGGACTAGACCCTTGGGTCAAAGTCTCGGAGTGTGGCCCCCTAAGAAAACCATCTGCTTCGGTTTGGGCACCCGGGTAGTATCTCAGCCCACGCACTAAAACCATGATGATGAACAATTTGCTTATGGAAAATATTCCTTTCTATCTGATTAACATTGAAATAACTCGTATTATTATTATTATTATTATTATTATTATTATTATTATTATTATTATTATTATTATTATTATTACTCTACCACGTCATTTATTCACCCTCTCTTATTCCTACTTTATGTATCCGTTTCGACCTAGACAGCAGCTCACCTATGGTGAAAATTCAGCTTTATCTAAACGTACTCGAGTCACTGCTTGGTTGGAAATTGTATGTTACCACCGAATATGAATACTGAAGCAGTTTTTCTGAAACGATGTACACCATTCAAACTGGCTGCCTTCAACGTTCGCACTCTTATGCAGGTCGGACAACAGATAGGGCTGGCTATGTCTTTGGAAAGTCTTAATATTGATGTGTGTTGTCTATCCGAGACCCGTATTCAAGACTCTGGTGAAGTACTACAAGTTCGCTCTCCATCTGTCGCTTCAAAAAGCTTGTTTTATGTGCGTTTATCCGGGGACCCCGTGGCATCTTCGTCTGGTCTTGCTGGCGTTGGTGTCGCACTAAGCGCAAGAGCTGAGGCAGCACTAGTCGACTGGATCCCCATTAACAGTCGGTTATGTGCTGTTAGATTAGAAAGTTCCATCAAAGTGAGAAGAAATCGGCGTGAGAAACGATGTCTTTTCGTCATCTCCGCCTATGCCCCGACAGATTGCAGCCCGGATGCAATCAAGGACGAGTTCTACCATCAGCTAACTGTTCTTCTCCAGAAAGTGCGTTCGACAGATATTGTAGTACTAGCTGGAGACTTGAATGCTCAGGTCGGGCGTCTAGGCACAGAAGAGAGTCGTTTAGGTGGCCGATGGGGACTCGTTGGTCGCAGGACAGATAACGGGGAACGTCTACTGCAATTATGCACAGACCACAGACCAGGCTAGCTACCACTCCACCGAAAAGTATAGATGAGCATTGGTTGCAATTGCATGACGCCATGAAAATGGCGGGTAAAGTCAGTTGTGGGTTTGCGAAACGTCCCGCTTACAAGCACTGGGTTTCTTCTGGTTCCTTACAACTGATTGAAGCCCGTCGGTCTTCTCCGGGTGACCGTGAGTTTGACCACAGACGAAGGATGTTACGTAATGAAATTGGGCAAAGCTTGCGTAAGGACCGAGAAGCCTGGTGGTCGGAGCGTGCTAATGAGCTGGAAGCAGCAGCTGCATCTGGTAATTACCGGAAGCTCTTCCAACTCATCCGAGCCACTGGCAGCAAGAAGTCTGGTGTGAGCGAAACAATCTGCGAGGATGACGGAACGCCAATCACTAACATCCATCGACTTCTTGGACGATGGGCAGAATTCTTTGAAGGGCAGTTCAACTGGCCTGCTGCTCCGGCAACATCGGTCAGACTGTCCTGCCCTCCATGGCCGGTGACGACTGATCCACCAAATGAGGCGGAAGTCCGCAAGGAACTCCAACTCTTGAAACGTTACAAATCACCGGGCCCAGACGACTTACCTCCGGCTCTTTTTAAAGATGGTGGTGACTTTCTGACTAAGGGACTGACGACGTTGTTTACAAAGATCTGGGAACTAGAGAGTGTACCAACGTCATGGAATGAGTCGATAGTTGTCCCTATCTTTAAAAAGGGTTCACGTTGTTCCTGTAACAACTATCGGGGGATAAGTCTACTTCCGATTGCGTCCCAGCTATTGGCTTCCGTTATACTTCGTAGGTTGTTCAGGACCCGAGAAGGATTGACTCGCGAGGAGCAGGCTGGGTTTCGTTCTGGTCGAGGATGTATTGATCATATCTTCACCCTCCGCCAAGTGTTAGAACACCGCCATACTTATCAAAGGCCAACAATCGTAGTGTTTCTTGATATCAGGGCTGCCTTCGATTCGTTGGACAGAACTGTTCTCTGGGATTGTCTATTGAAGAAGGGTGTGCCTGAGAAGTTTATTAACATCCTCAGGCAGAGTGAGGGCATACAACCACCTTTCTCCACTATTCCATTCAAGCAGTGGGGTTAGGCAGGGTTGCCCAATCTCACCATTCCTCTCCAACTTTGCCATCGATGACATTCTGGAAACAGCTCTGACGGATGTAAGTAATGGTGGTGTGGATCTGTTACCTGGAGAAAGACTTCTCGACCTTGAATATGCGGATGATATTGTCTTACTGTGCGAGAATGCCCAAGCTATGCAATCCGCACTTAATCAGTTGGCAATCAATGTCCGTAGGTATGGTATGTGCTTTGCACCTTCGAAGTGCAAAGTACTTCTACAAGACTGGCAGGATTCTAATCCTGTACTCACTCTGGATGGTGAGCAGATACAAGTAGTCGAGAAGTTCGTGTATCTAGGTAGCTGCATAAGTGCTGGTGGTGGTGTGAGTGATGACATCAATGCACGCATAGTGAAAGCCAGAGCGGCTTATGCCAATCTGAGCCATCTTTGGCGCCTTCGTGATGTTAGTCTGGCTGTAAAAGGTCGGATCTACAACGCGACGGTGAGAGCAGTTTTGCTCTATGCTTGTGAAACCTGGCCTCTCCGAGTTGAGGATGTTAGACGACTCTCTGTGTTCGATCATCGTTGTCTCTGAAGGATTGCTGGCATCCAGTGGCAACACCATGTCAGTAATGCAAAGGTTCGGCATCGTGTGCACAGGCACAGAGACGATAATGAAATTGGTGTCACCATCTTGAAACACCGACTTCGGTGGCTTGGACATGTTCTACGAATGTCGTCCCAGAGAATTCCACGTCGTGCATTATTTGCCGACTCTGGGACTGGTTGGAAAAAGCGGAGAGGTGGTCAGTATATGACATGGTGTCGTGGTATGA